CCGTCTTTTTTTTTGTATGCTCATAGCACTTGAAGCCATCCCTCTTTTACACCCTTAAGGTCCTTAAAAATGAGAAGAGGAAAATAGAGGAGATTAGAGACATATCGCCGGGAGCACGTGTTATAGGTTTTATGCCGGATTATTGGTTTTATATTTCGATTTCACGCACGAATGCCCATAATACCGTGTCTTTATATATGAGCAAAACAGACTATATTATGTCGGCCCCAGAATGCTTTATTAGAAAAGACAGTTATTATTCTGATTGAGCGGTTCCGCTATTAGATCAAAGATGCAATGAATATTGCGAATATAAAAAAAATGCCCGGTTGTCCGTCCATCCGGCTCTCGAAAAATGTCATACAGCACAGCATTATGCCAAGGTAATTCAAATAAAGTTATCAGGCGTCGGGTCGTGTCCCGTTCCCGTGTTGCATTTGACAATTTCCAACTAGGAAAAATTTAATTAAAGGTTCTGCCTGAAAGGGACCAACTCTGAAACAGTAAATTAGCTATACGCAACGCTTGATGCTCTCTTTCTCTCTTCCAGCTTGCCAGCGGAAACGTCATACATGAAAGCGTTTCCGTTTCACTGATTTAAATCTGGGTCGTTCGTCAGTAATTTGCGCCGCGCCATGTTTCTATGGATCGGATTACATAAAGTGCCTCATCCAGGGAAATTTTTTTTTTCGCGAAAATTTAATAACGTCCGGCAAATTGGATTTTTTACATAGGTAATAGGTTTTTTTTCTGATACTCTCGAACGAGTATTGAACCCTGATGAATAAATCAATTTGATGCTCGATTTCCTCTGTTCGAATTGTTTCCTCAGGCGGGTCGCAAATAGATATTTTCTTAAGAAAACTAGGAAAATAGGATAGGAATGTTGATTTATGGTCCCTTTGATGAGCTGTATGTTATAGTTTTCAGGGACACCCTGCCCAAGGAACGAGATCCGGAAAGATAAAACAATTTGCTTTTTATATTGTCGACATCTGAGAGAGTGCTTAGTTATTCTCAGTGATTGTCTAGCTCAGGGTGGTCCTTGGTGTTGGCACAGTTTGGAAAAGGCGTCACTAGTTTGTATAAAATTGTTTTGAATATTGAAGAATAGCCAAACTAGACACTATTCATACAGCAAGCTCTAGCTTGCTGTATTGCCTCGTTCTAACGAGGTAGATAAATACAACAAAACTAAGCTGCCTTAGTCGGAGCAAAGTCGCTTTTGCTGGAATAAGACTTGAGGTTTGTCAACGTAATCTCAATTCTTCTTATTTTCTCCCTAGTACTACTAACGTCATCTCTATAAGAAATGCAATATACATATAATGTTATTGCGAAATTATATTTCATAAATCTGAGCAATACTCCAATGCTGAGCTGGTAAGAGCGCACTCTCAGAAACAATGTGAATACAACTTTGTAGATTGTAAATTGTGATGGTTGAGGTTATAGACCTCTCCGCAGTGCGAACTGATTGGATCTATTGTGCCTTCCCTTACATCTAGTGGGTTTCCAGATCAAGACTTTGTATTGGTTGTTTCACATCCACAGCCGTTAAGTAGGGCTGCTCCAGATGGATGAGTCTTCTGCAGTAGAATGCCTCACAGTTGCAAAGTATGTGTTCCGCAGACTCAAAGGCTTTTTCACAAAAGCGGCATAGGTCTCATTCTGTTTTGCCCAGGGGTCAGTGTAGAGATGTAAAAAAACGGTTTTTTTTCAGATTTGAAAGAAAACATTGAAAAAAAAAACAGAAAAAAAACGTTTTTTTTTGTTGTTTGTTTTTTTTCTAAATGATTCAAATGTTAAAAAACATTTTTCTTTTTCAGATTTGAAAAAAATTCATGAAAAAAAAACTAGAAAAAAACACTTTTTTGTTTTTTTTCTTCAAAATAATTCAATTTTAAAATTCGTGAGTATCTCTAACCTCATCTTTAAATAAAAAAACGGACATTTGACGACCCTGGTGACGGAGTTACAGTCTGAAAATTCTTCAGACAGCGAAAGTGTCTCATAGTAATGTTCTGTTCTAGTATGTATGTTGTATGAGTATGATGAATGTATGATGTGATAATGAAATATAATATGATAGTTGATACATTAATGTACCATGTACCTGACCCGACAACCTGTTTCATTTAGATAATAATATTTTTCCTATGTTATTTCTAGAATAAAGCAATATTTTACGTTTTGTTTTATCCATATTTCACCGATTAAAGCAATTTTTTGTCACAAGAAAAGTTTAATTGGCAAAAAACGTAAAAAATGTGCATATGGTGCTATGTTTAGAAAAAAAAACACAAAATCTGAAAAAAAACTATTTGAAAAAAAACCATGAAAAAAAACCTGAAAAAAAAAACAAAAAAAACGGACTGTTTTTTTTTCACGTTACATCTCTATCAGTGAGGTAAGGCCTGTAAGCAGCCTTAGGTCCGCTTTTCTTAGGTTTATCATTTCCTTGGCCTTTATTGACAAGATGAATTGTTTCGCCTGTATAAGCCCTAGAAGCGTATTCCAGCGAGAAACTGTTTGAGTCTTTACCCAATCCTGGACTTCCCTTAGTTTTCCGTAATTCCAAAGGAAAGTTCTGGTCCAAGAAATGGTGTTGCAGCTCCTTGTCTTGCAAGTTGGTCCGCTATTTCAGTCTCCTTGACTCCTTGGACTTTTGGATGAAGGTCTGGTTCATAGCAGCTGTGTCGCAACGACCTCAAGTTTAGACCTACGAGAACTATGCCCTTAGGGGACCTGTTCTTTTAGTGCATCTTGGGTTTATAAAACATTCTTACATTACCTAGGGGCATTACCGTATAGACAATCTAACATGGTCCATCAGAGACGAACATCTGCGGTGTTAGGATTTTGGTAAATCTTCTTGAACTATAGGCTGTAATTAAGGTATAGTAATAAAGCATATATAATATCCGTGGCGGTTTTCAGATGAACCGTAAGTGGACGCAGCCAAGTGTAATAAAAGTGGTGGAACCGCTGTCCACAGTCAGCCTCAGCGTGACAATATCACTCCCAACTTTCACTCTGCATCTAGAACCTTCTTTGCAAACTCTTGTTAATCTTATAGTCTTTTGAGGTACCCCGAATACTACCATTGTCATCCGGATCTAACTGTGTTTACACTATCATAGGCTTGTTAGAAATCTATAAGCAGTTGGTGTATCTGCCTATTGAATTCCAAGTTTTTTTTTTCTAGAAGTCTGATTGTGTCTCCTATTATCTCCTCTATAATTGGGGTTATTCTCGACAGGAATATATTTGATAGAGCCTTGTATGTTATGTTTATGAGCGATATTTCTCTTTAATTTTTGCATTTTGCTCCTTTTCTGTGTAAAGCGATTATTATGCTTTCTTTTCAGTCTTCTAGGCTCTTCTCGTTTTTCCAGATAGTTCTTATGAGGTTGTGTAGTTGGGATGCTGCGGCTGTGTTTCCGGCATAATTTAAGAGTTTGATGGTTACCCGGAAATTTGTTGTTTTTCATCCTTCATATAGCGTTCTCAATTTCCATTCGAAGCTGGCCGGTTCTCCGTTGTTTGTATAACCTTGATTGAGTAGGGGTTCAAAGTACTCTTTTCATGTTTGCGGCATTTGATCATGCCTGGTTATTAGATCTCCGTTGTTTTCCTTGACGATCTTCTTGGTTCTGGGTCTGAAGCCATTCTTTATTGTTCTTATTGTCTTATGGAACTTCCTGGTAATGTTCCTTCCATCGACTTCCAGCTCCTCCAACTCCTGATCATATTGTTCTCTATTTTTCCTTCTTAGTAGTTTATTAGCCTTTCTTCTCAGTAGTCTGAATTGACTGTTATTATCTTTAGTAGAATCCTGCATCATTACTATTTCTCTCCTTAAGTACCATCTCCTCTCCTATTCCAGATCATACCAGTAGTTTCTGTTTTTGTGTTTCTTAGCTTTACTCCCACAGTTGCTCTTGCTGCTCCTATGATTGCTTCAAAAAGTACTTTCCAACTCGTGTCGATGTCATCTGTGTTTATAATATCTTAGCTTCAGTGCTCTATTTCTGCTTGGAAAAACTTCCTGATTTTTTCGTTTTCCAGTTTTGCTATATTCCACTGATGATCTTGTTGGATTGTACATTTTTTGAGCTTGATATTCTTTGCTAGCTTTGCTCGTACAAGAAAATGGGCCGAGTCCGCGTCTGCTCCTCTACTACCTCAAACTCAAAATCCTAGCTAGGCATAGGCATATCATTATTCTTTAGGATTGTCCCCTGAAAAAAGCACCCATGTATTTTAGGTTAGAACAAACAAAACGATTGAATCGCATGGTAATACTTTTCTTCCCAATATGACGATTCAAACACAATCATATCAAAGTCGGATTACGGAAAATATTTACCCGAATTCGACCATAGAAAGGTTTGTTTTTCGCACAGCCGTCCTCTGAAAGAAGCCATCCGATTTGCATGGAAATATGAAAAGAACCTCCTAGGACAAATTTGTGGTAACCGACTCTTGTTTTTAGAGTTAAATTATCACTCTTATTGGAAATTTCTTGTCAGATATATGAGGGCATAAATACGAGAATCTAGAGCAGCCACATACAAAGTATCATATACATAAATAAAATATAAATAAAAAAAAATCGTATAACTTATCTTTATGCGTTTGTATAAATATATATTTTTGCACCCTGATGCCAGTGTTATCTAAATATATGCTGTCGTTTGTGATAAAAAGTAAAATTTTGTTTATTTGTGTATATTTTTACCGTTGCCAGTATCTTGGCATCAGATTTACGTAAGTTAAAGCCACATTTATGTAACATTTATGCAATAGTTTAGTTACTAATATTATTGTTTATATTACATAATATTTATGTGAAACTTACTGAACCAGGACATTGACATTTGTGGAATATTAATTGAGTTATAGACGATTTTGTGAAGCGCTGTCTGATTATTATCATCGACTGAATAGAAAACTATTCTCTGTTTAAGCCTATATAAAAAAAATTCTTGAAAATAAATTCAAATAGATTTTTTTTCCTACATAAAAATACCACTACCCGGATTTATATCATTTTACATGTAAATCGGTCTGCTTGGAAGCCTTTTCAAATATCCCTTTGTGTAACTCGAAATGAAAAACATTGCTTTGAAAAGCTAAGACGATTATCTCTAGTTACTTTGAAAAGTTGAGGACGGAGCCTTGAATTTTACACTCTTCGCGTTGAAAAGAGATCAAACTGACATTGCTCAGTATGCCTCATGATATTTCCTAACAGGTGCAGAAAGTGGATTTTTACTTTTATTCATTCATCTGCTGGTAAGTGCAAGAGAAACTATTTTTACTTGAGGAGCATATTTTTCTCTAGTAGTCTATTACCGGCTCATGAATGAACAAACAATATGCAGTTGAATGGAAAATTTTGACTGTATCTGATCATCGCCAACTTTTTCTACATACTCTTGTCTGTTATATCTCTATGGGTTTGTTCATTGGCTTCTTCTTAGTCCCTTTGTATCAAATCGATAACGTTGGTCAACGTTATTGGCCAAGGATCAGTAAATAATAAGTATCAAAGCCACTAACAGACGAGACTAATTGATTATCTTATAGACATATTACCTGTCGAATAAAAAAATAAAAAAATAAACAAATCAAAAACTAATTTTTGTCCAAAGTACAAAACGGGCTTAAAAATCGGTAGAAATTGCAGGCAGGTGAGCCGACATCAGGACAGGACAGATACGACACGGGGCGCTATACGAGTAGTCCGGGGATGGGGGGGTGAGTCTGCTCTCAGTCAGCAGGGTTTTTCGGGGGGACGAACAGACAAACGCAAGCGCAGCCCTATGACGTTTGCAACCCCCTCCTGCTCGCACCCACCGTCGTTGTTCCGCATCAACCCCACTTCGCTGCAAACTGTTGAACGAAGCGTGCGTGTTCGATCCATAATAATAAATCCACATTCATCAGCCACACATCTCTCTGGCTCAAAAAAACGTAAATATCCTATGCACCCAGAGATCCTTCTCCGATACATTTCAGTGGAAGTTTCGTGATAGACAAAATCCAGAGGGGACATTTCCAGATTCGTCGGACTCGGATTCGTAGTGCGCGTTCGATAAATATTTATCTCTTTTTCGCGCGGACAAAGATGTGAAATAACGATGGATGGTGTGTTGTTTAGAAATTGTTGTGCCAGTTTTTTCCCGGTGACTGAATTTTAGACTAGACAAAATTGACAAATTCAGGATGGACGGGTACTATTCGACCAATCAGAGGCCTCCGCCGTTGCCTCGCAGGATGCGGAACGAGTACGCTGAACCGTTCGTACACGATTCCAGGTTTGTGATTTTTGGTTTTTCTTTGTGTTTTGGTAATTTTGGATCAAGAGTTTGGAGTGTCGATTTTAGGGCTTCTTTCGACAGTTTTTTGTTTCGGTTATCCTATGCAAGAAATGTAGGAAAGGACCTCTGGTCTAATTTGCTCATTGTTATCAATTACTGTTATAAACGAATTTATTTGTTGAACAACAATTAAGTATTAGAAACTTGAACCGCTCTTGACCCCAACATATTTCGATTAATTAAACGAATAGCGGAAATACCCGCACGCATTTTAATTATCTTAAAAGACGCATTTTGTTGAAATTAGAGTCAGTTTTGTGTTTTAGAAGTAATTATGGATAAAATAGAGCTGCTTCCTAAAGAAGCTGGATACGAAATGAATGAATTAAGGTAAAAACCTCATTATTATTCATAAATGAACGCAGAGATGATGTGTATATACTGTGTCCCATTAATTTTAAATCCAACTGAGAGATTAATATTTCAGATAAGACTCAGGTTTATAAGAGGGGTACATTGATGACAAGATCTCTTGCTTGAATAATTATTTTTTGCTAGTTAATTAACAATCTAAATATAAATACAGTACAGTGGCAGAAAAGTCGCGCATAACTTTTTAATTTCCTCAATGAAAGTTGTTCAATAAATTATTCCCCACATTTTTACCTCCATGATTTTTTTTCTGAACACCATGTGATTGCATATTTAGATTCTGCTTATTAAATATTGCATTTTTCTCTTTATGATATTAAAAATTTATGTATGTACCTAGTGATGCCGCTAAGACGAGAGATTCTTTTCTCGTCTCGTCGACAATACGAGAGAATGCTTTCTCTCGTCGAGAATTTATTTACTTCTCTCGAGCTTTCTCGCTCTTTCGAGCAATATAAATTTATTGTTATATTGCCTCTAGCGAGAATATATTTTTACGTTTTTGTGACCTCGAAGTCCAAAATAAACTTAGGTATAAAGCGTCAAAACTCACGAGAGACGAGAGAAAACGACACCAGACGAGATAAGTGCTTTCTCGTCTCGTTTCAAGGGTCTCTGGTCCAGATGAGAGTCATTTTCTCTCGAATTTTCGAGACAAGACAAGATATTCTCATCATCATTAAATGTATGGTTGCGGAGAGACATTTCAGCTGTCATTATCTCAGGAACAGTTGAGAATTGATGAAAATTTCAAAGACCAAAAATTCATAGTTTTCTCAGTACAATTCAAATACTTATGCAATCCTATGTTCCATTTAAAAAAAAAATAAAAACAATGTTGGTCTGGATGGCAACCAAACCAGAATTAACAGATTGCGAGACTTCTTTGTCACTCTGTATATATTTTCTAGATTCCCCAAAATCCTTCGGTCTAATCAATTACCCATTAAATCGCCTCGAAACATACATTATTATTTATCCATTTAGCCCTATAAGTCTGGAACGCAAGAAACTGATTAAAGTCTAAAGGCATCCAATTCGAAAAAGGCGGAACGCGCGTTTCAGCTAATTGTGTCCAAATGGTGTCTTTTCCCGAAATGATTGATGATCCTTCTTTCGGCTGATGGCGTGTGTCATTAAATGTAGGAATAAAAACGATAAACGTGGAAAGAGGTTTTATATACTGTGGTGGAGTGAAACTAATTGTTTTCGAAACGTCTGTGGGTGTGGGACTTTGAGACGATTTCATTGATAATTTTTCTGTTTCAAATCGAAAAAAATATGCAGCTCATGCATGAAACAGCAAAGAGATCGTACGTTTTTCATATAGTTTCAATTAGCAAAAAACAAAGGACCCTGCCGAAAGTAGACGGAGATTGTGTTTATGTCAGAATTGGCTGAATTTTCTATATAATGTAGATCCCGCCTTCCTGATTAAAAGTTACCATTGCACCAATCCTGAAAAATGATTCCTTTTTGAGAAAATTAATTTCATAGTATTCATAGGTAGCAAGTAAAACGCTTGGACATTGTAATGAACGTACATATAAATAAGTTGATTATTTCAGAACTTATGGGTGGACCTCTGCGGGACGAGCGCAGCGAGTTCCGCAGCCATTTACTCACAAATGTTCTGTTGAACTGTTCGAATAAAACACTCACCTGAAACGTGTAGCTTTTGATCTAATGAGAAAAATTCACAACTGAGTGAATCAAGTTAGTATTGTACTGTTGAACTGTTCAAGTAAGATATTTACCTGAAACGTGTAATTTTTAAACTAATGAGAATAACGCACATTTGAGTGAGTCAGTTTAGTATCGTAATTAAACAACATATTGATGAATAGATGGCTGCGGAACTCGCTGCGCTCGTCCAGAGGTCCACCCATAAGTTCCGCAACAATTCACTCATTTGTACTTTTATAACTTGTCACATTATGTTACTAGTTTGGTAAAGTAACATTACTTATTCCTGTTGAAAGAGGTCTATAAACCTAACAGTCCCAAGGTGGAAAAAATCATCGGGAACTATATAATAATTAGGTGCTTTTTAGGTGCTAATTAGAGCCTCTAATTAAAAATTAGGTGCTCCTCTGATTTTTGAGAAAATTTAAAAAAACTAAGGGATTGCTAGGTTTGTGAAAGCTAGTAGTCCCCTATAGTAAAGAATATTTTTTCAAAATTTCTTTTTGTATCCGAAATAGGTGACATTTTAGGTGCTCTTAAATAGTCGAAGAAAAAAAAAAATTGATTAATTATTAACTGAGTTACAGATGACTGCTGACTTTACGTTCACATATTGGTGTGTTAGAATGAAAAAAAACTTCAGGATCTATATAATCATTAGGTGCTTTTTAGGTGCTAATTAGCGCCTCTAATTAAAAATTAGGTGCTCTTTTAGTTTTTGAGAAAATCAAAAAAATTAAGGGACTGCTAGGTTTATAAAAGCCAGCAGTCCACTTATAATTAAAAAAAAATCTGTAACTCAGTTAATAATTAATCAATTCTATTTTTTCTTGGACTATTTGGGAGCACCTAAAAAGCACCTAATTCTGATACAAAGAAAAAATTTGAAAAAATATTTTTTACTATAGGGGACTGCTAGCTTTTATAAACCTAGCAGTCCCTTAGTTTTTTTTGATTTTCTCAAAAACTAAAGGAGCACCTAACTTTTAATTAGAGGCCCTAATTAGCACCTAAAAAGCACATAATTATAGTTCCTGAAATTTTTTTCCACCTTGGAACTGCTAGGTTTATAGACCTTATTGAAAGGCAAATTGACAAAAAGTGAATAATTATAATCTTACAAATTTGGACTTTATATAATAAGTTATTGTTCAAGTACAAATAAGTGGATTGTTGCGGAACTTATGGGTGAACCTCTGCGGGGCGAGCGCAGCGAGTTCCGCAGCCATCTAATCACCAATATACTGGTGAACTATTCAAGACACTCACCTGAAACTTGTAGTTTTTGAACTAATGAGAATAACTGACATTTGAGTAAGTCAGTTTAGTATCGTAATTAAACAACATATTCATGAATAGATTGCTGCGGAACTCGCTGCGCTCGTCCCGCAGAGGTCCACCTATCAGTTCCGCAACAATTCACTCATTTGTACTTGAATAACTTGTCACATTATGTTACTAGTTTGGTAAAGTAACAATACTTATTCCTGTTGAAAGGCAAATTGACAAAAAATGAATAATTATAATCTTACAAATTTTGACTTTACATAATAAGTTATTGTTCAATTGCAAATAGGGGGATTATTGCGGAACTTATGGGTGGACCTCTGTGGGACGAGCGCAGCGAGTTCCGCAGCCATCTACTTACCAATATACTAGTGAACTATTCAAATAAGACACTCACCTGAAACTTGTAGTTTTTGAACTAATGAGAATAACTGAGATTGGAGTAAGTCAGGTTAGTATCGTACTTGAACAATGTATTAATGAATAGATGACTGCGGAACTCGCTGGGCTCGTCCCGCAGAGGTCCACCCATACATTCCGCAACAATCCACTCGTTTGTAAAGTCTGTTTTTTTTTTAAAGATAATTCCCCAAGTCAAAAATTTAGTAACTATGTTGGCAACACAAGCCTTTTCTACATAAAAATTTGAAAGCATTGACAATTTTACATTGTATTGCCAACATAATGTCATTTTGACTTTTATCTTTAAAAAAAAACACAGTTTACGTACTTGAATAACTTGTCACATTATATTACTATTTTGGTAAAGTAACATTACTAATTCCTGGAAAGGCAAATTGACAAAAAGTGGATAATCTTACAAATTCTGACTTTATATAATAAGTTATTGTTCAAGTACATACAATGTAACACAAATAGGTAAGCTTGTGGCGCAAGTGGTGTGCTACGTATAGTAATTTTTCAGTATTGGTGCAATGGTAATTTTTAATCAGAAAGGCGTGATCGACATTACATAGAAAATTCAGCCAACTCTGACATAAACACAATTTAGATATACTTTGGGCAGGGTCCTTTAAATAATTCTTGTGAGGCGTTTGGGAAAAATAACTTCACCACTAGACACTCTCTTGTCCAAATCGAGTGAAAATTTAATGAAACAGAAGTGCACCATTGTTTGCATTATTTTGCGTTCAGCCAAAGTGAATTCTGTGAAATTTCATTCATAAACTGATGCATAACTAGTAGATAAGATTGAAATGAACAGAGATGACGTAGAAGCGTCCTTTACCACTTGCAACCTTGTCAGATTTATTATGGTATCTCCTGTCTAGTGGTTGAAAGGGGGTTCTAGGCAGCGTAACCTCCCATCTACTACATCCTGTTGGCTTATTGTGCACCCCAATTTCCTTCTTGCCTTAGAAGCCCTGTACCAGCACTGATAATCCTTGGACAAGATTTTCAGGAAGTAGTCTATCCCCATTGCAGTCTGTATTGCTCCGAAGAGTAACTATGTATCTATTGTGTGATAGGGCCACACAGTATCTCTCTCCACATAGTCTGCATTTCAGTGGGTCCATTGAATATTCTCATCCTGTGCTGATGCAGTGTCCTGTCAATAGCCCTATCACTTT